GCTAAATTCCACCATTCGTTTTGGTACCCTATTGTTTAAGTGCTTGGGTACGATTTTGCATAACCAAAATTGCCATGCGTTTGAGTACCCGGACCGAAACGCAAATGCATAAGGTTACCGAAACGCATATGACACCGGAACGACCAAGGGCAAGAGGGCTAGCCTGCCTGCAGACTCTTAAATTGAATTGCAAATGTTTATCCTCCTCCTCCTGGATAAACATTTGCAAGTCAATTCAAGAGTCTGCAGGCAGGCTACAAGAGGACAGGCTTGTGTAAAAGGGCATTTGCAAATAATTCTTTCGTAGCTGTCTTTTGTTTCAATCTTCTTGTATCTTGAAAATCGGCTAATTTTTAGCATAACAATTTCCTTCACAAGTTTTGGGAAATGTCGTCATGAATAAGTCAGTGCAGTCAGATATACATATGATTTTTTTATAATTGCAAGCGCTCGATGTCAAGGGCACTTCTATGAAAAGGGCACTTTGGCATCCTTTGCCCCTCCGATCCAAGCGCAACAGGGATGGTTGACCCCATGCGCCCCCTCTCTACTCAGTTTAGATGTATGATGATTACTCTAAGGTCCTTAATAGAAGGGGGAACGCTTATTACTTTTTTGATTTTTTTCTGACCCCCCCCGAAGCTTATTTGGGCCCCCCCGTTTATTAATTTTTATACGCAGTCATTCATATCCCTTATTTCATTTGTCCTTTGATCTTGCAGGTGTTAAATTTCTGTAAAGTTTCTCTTAAATGAAGAGGTTGAATTGTACAAAAGTTTTAACATAGAAAAGTGATGACATCCTAAAAAAATTACATAGGCCTGACTGATGTACACAATGATAATTAGCCTGCTCATTTTAGTAATACAACAATACATTATTACATGGTGATAATTGTCATTTTGCTATCGATTGTATTCAGAAGAAAATCTCTTTGACCCCAAAAAAGAATCATAGCGTGATTTTTCAGATTTTTCACATTTCCGACCCCCACTTACTAAGACCCACCCCCCGCTAATTTATTTTCCGAAAAATTTCTGACCCCCCCCAACTATCAAGACCTCCCCTTCTATTAAGGACCTTAGAGTATACTGTGGTGTGGCCACGAGGCTCTGTACTGGCTGTGCAGAAAGGCGCGAATTAATCGCAGCGTAGTGAACGCAGATGTATGTATACAAAGACTGTGAGTCTTGTTTATTATGTGCTTTATTAGTGCTGATGAACGAATTTTGCTAGCTTGTTTCGTTTCTATTTAGTGTGTCTGTATATGTGTAGTGAAACCTTCCTTAGCCTAACCTCGATGCAGCACTCTTATTCGTATCAAGTTTATGTTCCAAAAATAATCATATCACGCGAAATGTAATTACTCCAGTTAACTGCACTGCAGTCTTCAGTATAGTAACCACCATTCAGCCCATTCTAAAATACAATCCTGTTAATTTCGGTGCAAATGACCTAGCATTTGGTTTAATAACATTTGATAAAGAATTGATCAGGTAAAATGTTAGGCCGTCGAATGTTGTGACAAAACTTGGCTTGGCTAATATACTGTATGCTTGTGTCAATAACAATTGTAAAATGCTTTGCTATTTACAGTAGCTAACATGAATCAAATAATGGGGGAACATTTTGAAAAAAGGGCGTTTCCCTGCATTTGCGAGTGTTTGAAGGGCGTGGTTCAAAAAAAGACCCACCACTTCTGCAGCCCTGGGTATGCCACTGCCTGGCACAGAGCAATTTTGCATAGATATAGCTTACCACGGATAAATTGGGCGTAGGAACGACGTAACTTCTCCCTGTTTCGGAAATCTAGCATACTGTAACTCCCGCAACATCTTCCCCTATCCTCCAGTGTCCAGAACTGCACAGAAAATGAATTTGAAAATCAATCTGAAATTAATCTGAAAATCACTGAGCTTTGTAAAATTTGTCATTTAGTCAGCATAGTACAATTCAATGAGACACTTATTGATGCACTCATTTTTTATTATTAGAAACAAAAGTTGATGTTGAGCACTCCAGTTTCTTAATGTTCTTGAAATTTCAATACTTATTGTTTCTTACGAGTTTTTCAATTATGATGCCAGGAATGATGTTATGAAATGTTTGTGGCCTTTTTTATCTCGTAAAGAGATTCGCTTTCATTCTAATGCTGTATTTAGATGTGGGAAGTATATTTTTATCCGTTGTGTCTTAAGTTCTAGGCCAACATAGCAATCATGTCCTTGGATTTTACATAATTTCTTTGTTCTCAGTTTTATCCCGATTTAATAGTTTCTTACTTTTTTTGCTTTGAGTACTGAAGTTTCTAATTTTTTTCTTACTGTCCAGTACTCGTTTCTAGCCAGTTTCTTAAAAGCAAAGTGTATAGTATATATCGCTGGAATAAAAGGGGGCCTCCTTCTCACTTGTTTACCTGCTTTGAAGAATCCTGCTAAAGAATCGTGCTTTGACTTGTCAATTTAGTCATGTTATTCTTATTGCTTTGTTCTTTTATTTTATTTATTTGGCTATTTACTTATTTATTTACTCATGATTTATATAAATAGTTTTTGCATTGTAACAGAATCTGAATGAAGTCAAAATCAAATAAAATTGAATCAAGTCAAGTCAAGTCTAGTCAAGTCTTTAAAGATAATGTGATCATATAAAAGGACTTAGTATACCCAACTTGTGAAGTGACATCAAAATAACGGCTTGGAATTGGTATTTTTACGATTCAAAACTGCTCACATGAAAAGCTAACCTCACAGCAGGGTAGATTAACAGAACGAATGAAAGGACTTGGGCAATGACATGAAAAATCACATGTTTCTGTAAACCCTGCAGAGTTGCTTGCTTTAGCTGGACACATTATCTTATACAAACCCAAAGTGAAATATATCTGCCCCCCTGCAAAAAAGAATTTCAGTTTTCCAAAGTTTGCCTTAAATTATCACTTTTTTATTAATTCTTTTACTATTTAAAGTTGGCGGCTTAAAGTTTTTCACCAGATGGTCTTAGTGTCTCTCATAATTTTCCCCTATAAATCTGACTGTATCAATTCCAAGGCAAGTTGTTTTTGCCTTTGGTAGCTGTAGGCTATCTGAACACCTAAAATTATAAAGGTGTTTGAAAATTTTCTTCATGAAATAAGGATTTAAATTCTGTTTTGTTTTGTATATTTTTACCATAATGAACTGTAGGTTCCTCTGAGGATTGGTTACAGAATTACAGCTTTCAAATATTTTTTCAAAACTAAAGACAACATCCTGATATGCAATTCTTAATGCTATTTAATGATTTCTATTTATTTTATTGATCACATTTCTATTGTGAAACATCAAAATCAACAGTCAATAGCTAAACTGGGACATAAGGAATGTTTTCATCAACAGTTTTAGCTGCTCCAGCTTCATGAGAACTGAGATAGGAGTTAGAAGCTTTTAACTAGTGAATTTGGACATGTTTTATGGTTTTACAGAGAATTTGGACATGTTTTGAAGCTCAGTTTCTTGTCAAGACTGATGCCTTGTACTTTCTTCTTTATACCTTCACCAATATGTATATTAACTCTTTCCCTGTTCACCCCAATCAGAATAAGGTGACATCTATCTTCATTTAGTTTCATATAGTTCTTAGGGAACCACGTTGTTGGTAGATTTGCATCTCTTTCTAATCTTTGTATAGTATTTTCTACCTTAGAGTTGCAAGTGTATAAAGTAGTGATGTCTGTGTAATTGCATAATTAGTTTCCATTCATCAGAAGAAACATATAATTGATATAGATATAAAAAGGGGACCTAATACTGAGCACACCTAAGGTTGTCTCTTTTCATGTACTAAAGAACCATTGACTTTTACTCTTTGTCTTCTCTTCGTAAAATAGCAATGAATTAGTTTGAGGGCAGTTCTGCTAAAACCATAAGCCTTCAGTTTTGCCAACAGTAGCTCATGATTTAGGCAGTCAAAGGCTTTGGAGAGATCCATCAGAAGTGCTCTCGCAAAGCCTCTGTTATTCATCACTGTTTTACAAGTTTTTGATAATTTCAGAAGCTCCTGTTGTGTATTATAGCATTTCCGAAAAGCGCAAAGCTGTGTAGAAAGAAAGCACTCAGAAAAGGGCATTATTTGCTCATAGATCAGTTGTTCAAAGATCTGTTGAGAGAACAATTATTGGGCAAAGGATTTTCTTGCCAGAAGCGTCATCTTCTTTAAAAGTGAGGAAATATCCCCAGCTTTCAGTTTGTTTTGAAAACAGCTTTTAGATAGACTTCTGTTGTAAGTACTGATTAAGTATGGCAAGAGCAGACCTGAATTTTTTAACAACACAAGAGCAGACCTGAATTTTCTAACAACACTTTAGCTGGAATACTTTTGACTAGCTGGAATACTTTTGATGGGAGATGCTTTCTTTGGATATAATTTTTCTATTCAAAACTTTATCTCCTGGATACAGCAAGGTCAAAACTCAAATATACCTGAAGAACTTAAGTTTTCTTTTATATGCTTTGGTGTAAGCTATACTAACAAGCTCAATAGGATCCTCTATATAATTTGCCGATACCAAATTTGCTTACAATACTTCAATACCTAGAGGACATGTTATTTTGGCAAAATAGTCATTAGCAATATCTGCAATTGCTTTGTCATCGGAAAAGTAAAGTAAAGTTACACTTGTAGAGGTTTTAACTTAACAGAAAAAGGTTTCACTGTTTTCCAGAATTTTCAATTATCTTTGAGGCATTTAAGATCGATATTCCCGCTCAAGTTCATGCAACAGTTTCAAACAAAGATTTATCTCTTTTTTGAAAGCAACAAATTATCATTATTATTCGTTGCCTTTCATGATTTTGCACATTAGGTACATCTCATTACTGTTTTTACTGTTTTTTAATTCAGGACCAATATTACCAAGATGCAAGACATGCGACTTTCTGACAAGTGTAATTGTCTTGTCTGTTTTTACATATTTTCTGTCCAAGTTATTTTTCTCTCTAACTTTACATTATGCTTCTCAGGAGCATGCACACCATCCTGTGATTCAAATGCAGTCTGTTCCGGTGGTACAACATGTGTTTGCAACATAGGCTACACTGGAAATGGATTGACTTGTACAGGTGATATGATATACTTATTTGCTCAGTGATTCAGAAATATATGTTTTTGAACAAGCATAATCTACTTTTATCAAGTCCTTTAGTTTTTAGTTTATCAAGTTCGTAGTTAACGGTAGTTTCAAAGTGAATCGGTCTATAATGAATTTTTAATTCTACGTAAATTTCGAGATGATATTAATTAAGCTTAACGGATGATTTGTGGCTGTTCTTCTGTAGGTTTTATGGCTTGTTCCTTTCCATTTGTTAATACATATCTCTTTGTTGCTTCTAGATCAAGACGAATGTACATTAGGAACGCATAACTGTGATTCAAATGCTGCATGCACAAATACTGCAGGCTCATTCACCTGTGCTTGCAATGTTGGTTATACCGGAGTTGGTACATCTTGTACAGGTATATCTTCCTAACTGTGGCTTTTAAGTTGATGTTTCATTAAAGAATCTATAATTCTACGTAGTTATCCAATGGCTTTCGATTATATGTATCAGATAAGTTGTGGCTATTCTTTTCTAGGTTTTATGGCTTGTTTCTTTCCATTTGTTAATACATGTCTCTTTGTTGCTTCTAGATCAAGACGAATGTACACTAGGAACGCATAACTGTGATTCAAATGCTGCATGCACAAATACTGCAGGCTCATTCACCTGTGCTTGCAATGTTGGTTATACCGGAGTTGGTACATCTTGTACAGGTATATCTTCCTAACTGTGGCTTTTAAGTTGATGCTTCATAAAAGAATCTTTAATTTTACGTAATTATCCGATGGCTTTTGATTAAATTAAAGGGATAATTTGTGGCTGTTCTTTTGTAGTTGTGATGGCTTGTTTCTTTCCATTTGTTACTTCATGTCTCTTTGTTGCTTCTAGATCAAGACGAATGTACATTAGGAACGCATAACTGTGATTCAAATGCTGCATGCACTAATACTGCAGGCTCATTCACTTGTGCTTGTAATGTTGGTTATACCGGAGTTGGTACATCTTGTGCAGGTATATCTTCCTAACTGTGGCTTTTAAATTGATGCTTCATAAAAGAATCTTTAATTTTGCGTAGTTATCAAATGGCTCTTGATTAAATTAAACGGATAATTTGTGGCTGTTCTTTTGTAAGTTTTATGGCTTGTTTCTTTCCATTTGTTAATACATGCCTCTTTGTTGCTTCTAGATTAAGACGAATGTACATTAGGAACGCATAACTGTGATTCAAATATGCTGCATGCACTCAAATACGTGAGGGCTATTACGCTGTTGACTGCATGTTGTTATAGCGGAGTGGTCGGGTCTTGCTAACCGGATTTTGCAACGGTGGCTTTTAAGTTGAGCCTTCATAAAGAATTTTAGATTGTTGACGGTAGTTAATTCCAATGGCTTTTGAATTAAATTAAAGGCTCATTGTTGGTGGCATTTTTCTTTTGTAAAGTTTTATGGCTTGTATTCTTTCATTTGTAAAGTAAGGGAATGGTGGTGACCGAGATAGTCAGGTGTTAGACTTGCTCGGACAGAGCTAGTAGGTTTTATCTGTTTGAATATTCGAATAGTCCTCGTCTTGCCCAAGACATAGCGGAATTCGGCAGATAGCGGATCACCGCTACGCTGCGTTCTGGGCTGAAAGCGACCTCGCCGGATGGATTGAAGAACACAGTATTGCCGGCGTCCGACAGACGCTTATCTCTTCTGTTTGCTTCTAGAGTCAAGACGAATGTACATTAGGAACGCATAACTGTGATTCAAATCTGCATGCACAAATACTGGCAGGCTCATTCAACTGTCTTGCAATTGTGGTTATACGAGTTGGTACACTTCTTGTACAGGTATATCTTCCTAACTGTGTGTTTTAAAGTTGATGCTTCATATAAAGATTGTAATTAATTTACGTAGTTATGCGATGGCTTTGATTAAATTAAAGGAATATTTTGTGCTTGTTGCTTGTTTGTAGTTTGTGATGGCTTTTCTTTCCATTTGTACATATTCTCTTGTTTTCTTCTAGATCAAGAGAATTGTACATTAGGTAAAACGCATAACTGTCATGCAGAATGCTGCATGCACAATATCTGCGAGGATCATTCACTGTGCTTGCGATGTTGGTTATATGGAGTGGTACAGCTGTACGGTGTATCCCTAACTGGGCTTTAAGTAGATGTTTCATTAAATAATTTTAATTCTACGTAGTTATCCAATGGTTTTGATTAAATGTATTGGAATAATTGTGTGGCGTTCTTTTCTAGTTTTATTGGCTTGTTTTCTTCCATTTGTTACATATATCCCTTTGTTGCTTCTAGATCAAGGACGAATGTAATTAGAACGCATAATTGTCAAGATAGTAGCATGCACAATATGCAAGGCTATTTCACTTGTGCTTGACATGTTATGGTTATATTACGAGGTGTACGTGAATGAACGCTTGTCGTACAGGGTATGTTATCCTAGCGCTTCATTTAAGTTTGGGCTGGTTCTAAATAATTTGTAATGTGAAAAGTATAGATATTCAGCGACTTTTATTAAATTAATTCTTGTGCATAGATATTTTGTGTGGTTCTATTGATGATTTTTTAAAGATTTTGCTTTCTGCAGTTGATGATACG